AGGAGAGAGAGTGTGTGTGTGTGTGTGTGTGTGTGTGTGTGTGTGTGAGAGAGAGAGAGAGAGAGAGAGAGAGAGGGAGAGAATACGAGGCGTACGACACTCTGCAAACTACAGTACAACTATAGACACGGTACTTGTAGATGGACACAAACTTGAGGGAATGGAGGCCGGTTCTCCAAAAGGGGGATTACAGTGGTACTGAATGCTAAAGTTACCTCTATCCCGAGTACCATCCCACCATTCCTTCGGGCCAGAGTGTGATACCGAGTTATCCCCATTGCTTAACGGGAGTATTAAGATTCAATCGTTTGATGCAAATCACCCCCCTCTCACGATTATAATCTGACGGTAAGGTAACCTCCTGACGGGTGCTGCGCGAGCACTGTACAGTACACCACAGCCTCCAATGTAGGGGCTCCGTTGATCTCTGCACAATCATGATACGAGAACGATGCCCGTATGAGTGCAGCACCATACAGTACAGTGCACCAGATAGGCTGGATAAAACGGCATCCAAACGGAGGAGCACCTCTCAACACCACTCCAACTCAACCTATCTCGACGGCCTCGCCAGCCCCTGTGGGTGGAACCCACTGGTGCGATAACAGCACTTCCTTCCTTCTATTCTCCCTTCCGTATCTTCCTATCAATTCAAAAGGGTCTATAAATTCCTCTTCCCCTCCCCTCCCCTGTCGGGTCCCCGCTGCCCATCATGGGAGCACGGTAACCGATGGCCCACATAAGCAGCCAATGAAAAAAAGAAGTGCAATTAACCTATTTCAATCCGGTCCACCACTACCACACTCGGACCGGACAAATGAAAATGGGGATAAAAATGTTACCGCTATCATCAACCTACGAGTGCAGTACAAGTACTCGTATAGTACGGTATATTGCATCAATCCAATCGTTTTCCCAATTATCCGCCTCAGGCTTACCAATAAGTTACCGGCATAGCACACAGCATATTCACCTATTAATCTTTTTGCTGGGCATTCTTACGAGTGCTGCCCGACAAGCCTCAAGCTACCGCGCAAGCTCTACGGGTGTACGACGTAGCGTAAAGGAATAAATAAAGATGGAGCGAAGAGCATCGCCCCGGACAAGGCTAACAACACTCCCTCTACGCCCTCGAGCCGGCCCGGTTCGAACCGAGGTCAGCCGAGCAGCTGTAAACGGTATCACAACCGGTAGAAGGGGGGAGAAGAGGGCTGAGCCTAAGCGACCCAGGGTGTGTGCAAAATAGTGCGGTTGGTATCATTGACACTGTTCTGTTCTGTTCTTTTCTGTTCTTTTCTGTTCGGTTGGGGTGCTTTGTGATCGGGTGGCTGTCGGTCGGGAATCACAGAGGAGGAATACAGTATGATACCGTATTATCCCCGTAGGAAGGGTTTACTAGTAGTTGTTCCCAGGTCACGAGGTCACTTTTTGGCTCTTGAGGTTGTACAACGACACTCTGAATATAGTACACTATCGTACTACTTGTAGTACTTGTGTGGGCACTGGACTTCGAGTTGTGTCATACCCTGCAGTATCTCGCAATATATTTGCTGACGAGTCAAAAAAGTAAAAGGGAAGAAGAAAATCGCGAGAAATCAATTACTTTTGGATATACCCGAGAATTCATCACCGCTCCTAGGATGGTTGACCATGATATATAACTTACTGGAACTCTGTAAAAATGCTAAGCGTCGGTGATACACCCGTGACTAGCATCCGCAACTTGCCTGTGGCAGCATAGTTTAGCATTGTGCACTCTCCAGACCCAGACTTATCGCCGGGGAGTGCGTGTAAAAAGACGAATAAAAAACTCACTTGGAATATTTGTACAAGGTCCCCTGTGTATACTTCAGAGGCCTGGGAGAGTACTGTTTCCTCCTGTCGGCCAATTCCTGCTCGCTAACCTCCAAATCCAGCAACCGCTTCTCAGCGTCGATAACAATCTCGTCGCCATCCTTGATGAGCGCGATAGGACCGCCCTCCTGTGCCTCTGGGACGATATGCCCGATCAGGAACCCGTGAGAACCCCCGGAGAAGCGACCATCGGTGATGAGAGCGACGTCCTGTCCCAAACCGGCGCCCATAATAGCGGAAGAAGGCTTGAGCATTTCCACCATTCCTGGCGCTCCCTTGGGGCCCTCGTAGCGGATCACTACGACCGTCTTCTCGCCCTTCTTTATCTCGCCGCGCTCAAGGGCGCGGATGAAGTGGTCTTCGCCATCGTAGACCTTGGCCTTACCGCAGAAGTGGAGACCCTCCTTTCCCGTGATCTTGCCCACCGAGCCCCCGGGCGCGAGGCTGCCACGCAGGATCTGAATGTGGCCAGTCTTCTTGATTGGATTCGATAGCGGGCGGATGATGTCTTGGTCTGGCGGGAAGCCTTGCACATCCCTGAGATTTTCCGCGAGGGTCTTTCCGGTAACGGTGTTGATGGAACCGTCAAGTAGGCCTTCCTTGAGCAAGAACTTGAGAAGCGCTGGCGTCCCTCCGATCTTGTGGATGTCGGCCATCACATGCTTGCCTGAGGGCTTCAGGTCCGCCAGAAAGGGGGTTCTGTCTGAGACGGACTGGAAATCGTCGATTGTGAGCTTCACGCCCACGGAGTGAGCGATAGCGATCAGGTGGAGAACCGCATTCGTAGACCCCCCGGTAATGTTGACCACAACCATAGCATTCTCGAACGCGGCACGGGTCATGATATCCCTCGGCAGCATTTTGAGCTCAAGGAGATTCTTGATCGCGGCTCCAGCATCAATACACTCCTGAACCTTCTCAGGAGACTCAGCTGGGTTGGAAGATGATCCTGGAAGCGTCATTCCCATGGACTCGATGGCCGTTGCCATAGTGTTTGCTGTGTACATTCCTCCACAGGCGCCGGATCCGGGACACGCATTTCGGATGATATCGAAGCGGGTTTCCTCGTTAATCTCGCCGGTCAGGAACTGGCCATACGACTGAAAGGCGGAGACAATGTCGATTTCAGCGCCACCTTGGCATTTGGAGTGTCCAGGCTTGATGGTTCCACCATAGACCATGAGAGATGGTCGGTTGACTCTGCCCATGGCTATGATCACACCTGGCATGTTTTTGTCACAGCCAGGTATTGAAATGTTTGCGTCGTACCATTGGCCGCCCATAACCGTCTGAGAAGTGGTCAGTTGGATTCCAACATGTGATAGGTGGGATCTTACCTCGATCGAATCAGCAATCAAATCTCGGGACTGCAAAGAGTATCTCATCCCGCTAGTTCCCATGGAGATAGCATCACTGTAAAAAAAGAACATGTGTTAGGACACCCACCCACATTCGCAAAGCCCTGCGCCTTAGACATGTCGCACCTGACACCAACGGTGTTGAATTGGTACCCAACCAGCCCAGCCTTACGCACTCCCTCCAGAACCTTGAAGTTCAGATCTAATAGATGCATATTGCATGGATTCCCCGAGTACCACACCTGCACAAACGCACCCACACGCATTAATTCTGATTTCTAAACCGCTCATCCGGAGCCGAGCAAATCCTACAGATGAAATTCCAACTTGCGCCTTATTCATGTCGTCGGGCTTCAGCCCAGTCGCATACACTATGCCTCACACGAGAATCAGCGATTTCTGCGAAAAAAATATATGTATACACATTGTACAGAGTGGGGGACAAACGCATAGCCTGGGATGCGCCCTGAGACTTCGGCTGAGTGACTGCCGCAGAGACCTTGTTCAATCCACCATCCCTCCACCGTGAAATTGTCGACGACAACGGCCGAGAGAATCTGGACGGTTTCGGAAATAAAGAGCGTGAGGGAAGAGGGAATCGGAGTTGTGACAACATCGCGGATCCTCAATTTCTAGTCGGAAAGGTCGCTTTAAAGGCGAAGATAACGAAGGATGACCTCCCGGGGATGGGAGATGCTTTCAATGGGTTTAATTAACCGGGGAAGGTCTAGTTACTCACTCTTTCGAAACTGGTCGCCGGCGGGGGAACTTGGAGAGAAAAATGTCCCACAGAAGCTTATTTTAACTTATGTGATTGGTTGTCGCAGTCACAGCTCCTGGCCTGATGACTAGGATCGGAAATTTCCTGACTGCTGCACTACCCCCAAGCCATCAATTGTCACTCGTAAATAGCTTACCTGCTGATTGGGAGGTCTGGACTCTGAAATCCAGGCATAGCTTCAGCCAGCTGTTATGCACAAGAAGCTAACGGACATTGTTACTTCCCAGCCATAGTATATCTATCCACACAATTACTCGCAGGCCATACTGTGGCACCAGCGTCTGTCAGACACTGTATGTTATCCATGACCTTAAGTTTCAAAATTTCATGGAACCCGTAAATTCTGATATCATAAAATCCATATGGCTATACTGTACACTGGTGCGATGCCTACATACCCTGAAACGGAGCTTGGAACATTTATCGAGGAGCAAAAATGTTGGAAAAAAAGAGTGACCAGGAGAACACTATGATATCTACAAAACAAAGCCCACAAACACAAAGGCTCCGACCAAACCCAAGTTCATTCAGGCAAACCTAAGGTCCCCAAACAAAGATGCTCGAACTTGAACTAAAGCGCCCAATTCCAGCACAAATTCCTATGTCGCGTGTCAGCTGTTGAAAATGGTAATTAATATGCATTGCTTACCTGAAGAACCATGATATTGGTCAACAAGTGACTTAAGGTAAAGTCTCCCCCAATTCTTACAAGATCCTCCATTGTCGGCGACGCCTCTGTCCCCACAACGCTTCCCTCTCTACTCTCACCCTCGGGTGGAGGTGGTAGATGTAGTATAGTCTGTCCTGGTTGCAATACCTTGATTCTTCGCTGTGTGGTTTCCAGCATGTGGTGATTGAAAGGACTTTCGGGGGATCTGGCTAAATCTACTGATGGGGATAACCCACGCGCAGATGAAGGTGTGGACACTATGGATCTGTTAGGCATGAGCGAACTCGGGATTGGAATCGAGGGACCTGAGCCACTAGAAGGTTGTCCAGAGCGGGGAGTTGGCGCATGTGCACCGGAGGGTCTCATGAGGTTCTTTGCAGAAATGGAATCCAGAACCGGATTTCGGATAGGTGGGGTAGGCTGCGGTAACGGGCTGGATAGTAGAGCGTCATTCAGTTCATCCGTAAACTGGAATGCGCGCTTCCTTTCTGATAGCTTATCGTCCAAATCTGGAATGGCTCTTCGATAAGCCTGGATCTGGCCCACTAAACTTTCTATAGTTTGAAGAATTGGTGGTGCGTTTGTCCATCTTGGCTGCCGGTTTGCCAGCTTTAGATCTTTCGCTCGCTCGTTCTCCTTGCGCCGATGAACTTGCTCCGCACTAACCCCCATAATATGAGTCAATTCATTCTCAGCGTCCTCAAGTTGGTCCCACTCATCACTATATTCTCCGTCATCGCTGCTGTCGAATTCATAGGAAGCCGGGTCAAATAACAGCCAGCCTTCTGGCCTCATGAACGAGCAAGTCGCAAGATCCACAATCACAGCTGTCAGGGCCAAATTGGTCTCAACAGTGTTGGAGAAAAAGTTTTTCAACAAATCTACAATACTTCTGAGCAGTGGGTCGTTAGGATGAATAGTGTGCGTATACATGTCCCTGATATTTTGATTCCCCGATTCCGGAGCATCTTCCGCTCCGGGTGTGAACACGGAATTCTTTAACGCAAGCACACCCATTGAGCAAGGATGCGATTCCAACAAACCCAATATGTCCTTCAAATGGTCTCCATAGCTTTCGGAGACGTCACCGTCTTCAGAGATATCTCCCACCAGTGAGAAAATGTGTTCCATCTCTTTATTGTGCGCTCCCACAGTCCGTAATGGGGTGTCAGCTGAAATGGGTGATACTTTTAACAGAGTAGAAATTGAATACGGGTGGTGTTTTCTTAATATAGTGGAGATAAGTTTTAGGGTCGCGGATACTGTTTGTTGGGACTTAGACTTAAGACTGGTTAATACCAAGTCAACGAGGTTGAACAAATCAGGTGAAGGCTTGTCGTCCATCTCGGTAACTTTATTCAAGAGATCAAGAGATCTTCTTCGCTTCGCAACGGAAGGTGATGGGGGAACAGATGCCGCTTTAGTCTCGTCCGGTAGAGCCATTAGGTAAGAAAGTATCAGATGAATAATGTCAGGATGCTCCAAAGTATCAAGAACAACCCGGACATAAGTCAGAACCGCAACTGAGGAGCCGCCGTCTAAATCTGACGATTCCAACAATGAAGGATATCTGAAACTAGATGTTAGCGTGACTGAGCGAGATAACCAAAGTTATTGAATACTCCTACAGTAGCTGTTGTAGAAACAGCACTTGAAAATGATCAAGCAGCGTCTGCTTCACCTCGGTGGATCTGCAATGCTCAAGTACATCTTGCCAGAAAATTAGATACGATAGAAAAGTTTCTAGATGTGTCTGAAAATCTTCTGAAGTTGAACTTTCAGCTCCAAATGCTAAGGGGGAAGAGGAATAATCCGAGAGAATTAGAATGGTGGGCGGGTCTGCTGTAGGGTAATTGACCGCTAGTTTCCTAGATTCTAGGTTAGCCAAATCCATCAGTGAGTATAATCGGAAGCGGAACCTGCTGAGTTGGCTGTATAGAGCACCCAACCCAGACGCCATCAAAGTCGCAAGGTCACTTTCAACTATCCACTTTTCCAAGTCGCCAGATGAGGATGCGGCTTCAATGATATAAAGAAGGCCTGTCCTGGCAAAATCACCCACCCTCCCTTCGTGATGGACGTAATCAATCAAGAGATAGAACAGAGGGAAGTCATCCTATATGGCGCATTTGTCAGACTCTGTGGGAATGCTGGCTCCATCCCAGATCTCTTCAACAATAAACCCATACCTTATTGGTGATTCCGGCAAACCTTTGTTGCGGGTCCAAGCTTTCATAGTCTCTTCCTCCTTCGTCATCGGCCCGCGTGGTGAACCATGCAGGCAGAATATTCCGGCTTAACCTTATCTTCTGAGCAATGCTGAACAAAAGCTCTACATATTCCCCTTCAAACAATCTGTGCCTTGTCTGGCTAGTTTTTCGCAAGAATTCGATCAGGCATCGGGAGAAGTTTCCTTGGGCCAAAAATTCTTCATCCTCGTTATCTATCAGGGTGGAAAAGGCCACTATGCATTCCTTGATAACTCCAGGTGAACCTGTTTGTCCAATCTTCGAAAGTGCAATGAACACCTGCTGCTCGTAACAAAAGTTCATACATAAAGGAGATGAGCTTTTCTCTTCCTCGACCAGAAGTTCATTGAGTCGTTTTATATGGCTGCGTAGCTGGTCCTGCGATGAAGGATCGAACTCGCGAGGGTTGCGCCAGGAGTGCTAAGGGGTGTGGAGGCAATTGTTAATTTAGCTTAAGCTTGCGGGTGGATTGTGGGGAACAGGGACCGCTTACTAGTAATGACTGCCAGTGCCTCTTAAATTTGGCTAGCCTCTGAGCAGGACTCAGTGGCGGAGGCTGTTTATCGACAGTGCTCGAGGCAGAGCTTGAGCTTCCGACCAGACGGTTCCACTGTAACATCCACATAGTCAGAAGTATTCCACTACTCATTGTGAAATTATGGTGTCCGCTGCACATGAATGGAGGAGAAGAGGAAGATCTGTAGGGGGTTTTGAGACGCACGAAGTCCATAGGGAGATTCTGTATCCAATGCGGCTCGCTTGAGGGCAAGGCAGGGGTATCTTTGGGTGGTGTCGAAACGCTTCGCGGATTTAGGTTGACGGCTTGTTGAAAGTGTTCTGGGCGCGGCCGCCTCAACAGACGCGAAGCTCCGTCTTGGCTTAGTAATTCTCCGAGCGCTCCGAACATGATGAACTTCTGCCGGTACCTCACGGGAAACCTGAGCTCTCCGAAGCGCACTGTCAAACGCCACCGAGGAGTTGATGATGTGCTGAAAGAGCTTCACCGATGCCTTAAATGGCAAAAGGGCTCAGTAAGTATTCTGGGTTGAGAATGTTCGCTATTCCACGACAGTTCAATGGCAAGATGCCATGGCTTTTAGGAGAGGATTGGTGGCATGGAGAGCGCCATTGCTGTGCACTGATTGCAGCTTTATCTCTCTCACGCAATTGTTTACTGCCACGTGTGCCGCATGAGAAGTGTAAACCAGGCTACAGATTTTCGAGCTTCCCAAGTATGAGTTTTATGGGAATATCCTTTCCGAGTTTCCCCATATCTCTCTCCCTCGTATCATGAAATAAAACCGGCCAATAAACCCCGCTATACTATTATATATTATGAGATTAGCTGTTTCCATAGCAGCTTAGAGACGTAGCAGTCGCTTGGCAGAGTTGTATCTTGTTAAGTTGGGAGACAGCTTCAAAACAAAAACTTGGAAATCATGCATAGTTTAATGCAACACTGGACACCGGTATCTGCCGACTCTAGCATGAGCCCAAGGACAGGCGCCTTTCCTGTCAGGATGGGCCAGCAGTCAACAATACGGGTACCGGTGTTACTGTTTGGGCGTTGATTCCTGTTCATGATTTGCGTTGCGTGCTTTCCTGTGTGGGACCTAAATCACGGATGTTGTTTGGAGCCTGCCTGGAGAACTGTATTGTAAACCTTTTTCTGAACAACGGCATTCCGAGTAAGGGAGGGAGTGCTCCTGAAATGGAATGCGGTAATACCGTAGATGGATGCGGGACTGCCCAGAAAAGCCCGAGCAAGAGCCCCAATCGTTACTAAATTGGTTCTATTAGTGTCAAGGATGGAGGCCCTAATTGACTGCGTGTCGATAAGATCAACTGGGCCGTGGAGGTCCAATCACTGGCCCTGGCCCGGATGAAGAGCGAGCGGAAACAAAACTGACAGGTCCGTCACCGTAGATACGCTACCACATTATCTTTCTCTTTGGTATAATGCCCTATCATGAGTTGGGTTTACCGGTAAGATACTCGAGTGCGTGAGCGCTGTCCCCGGACTAAAAGTCGTTTCCACCCGCAGCCTGCCGAATTCACCGTGACTCGTTGGACTACCGGTACTCGAGTACTGATTGGGGACCAGAGATTTCTTAGAAGGCAATCTCATCTCAGTTAGGCCTTGTGCTTACTAATCGAAGGCGGTTTTAAATTGGCACCATAGTGAGTTACCCGTTCTAAAGCACTGCCAAGATTTCACATCCTGCAGATAGCAGGAAAACAAAAAAATAAAGTTTTCTGCTTGTCACCGCCACCTACGAAGTCTTGCGCATCGATAAATTCTGGAAATTATAATGGGAAAGGGGCGTTCAAAGTACAAGCAAGGCCCTCCGGCACCGCTCAATGAGCTCCTCGTCACAAGAAAACGCAAACCCGAAGAGATTCCCGTCCAATCCCCCGTCCAGTCAAAACGAAGGCGAGGTGGGGCAGCGAGTGCAAAAGCGGCTGACAAGAAAGGAAAACTGATTGCGAATGGCAAGAAGGGCTTGAAGGGGACGAAGCCGGCAGCGGTATCCCCTCTGACCCAAAAGACAAAGAGAGAACTTTTTGATGGTGACTCTGATGATGGGATCATGGATGATGAGTTTGGTGCAGAGTCTGGGGATGAAGAGATGGAGGATCGACGCATGTCGCTGAAAGACGATTTCCTTGCAGGCGAATCGGATTCGGATGTGTATGACTCCGGCGAGGAGCAGGCTGGACACATGTTCTCGGAGGATGAAGGTGAATCGGATGCTGAGGAAAAGCTCACAGCGGCAAACATTGAGGGCCTTTCGAGAAAACTCGATTCACAGCTTGCACATGAGGCTGCGGAAGCACAAGCGGAGCTGGAGGAATCTGCGATGCAAACTAACATCGCCGGTGAGCCTAAGCCACATATTCTCGGAGACCCTGACGATGAGGACGACCAAGCTGCTCTGGCTGCCCCCGACGTTACTTTACTCAGGACACGCATCACCGATACCGTACGAGTGTTGGACGATTTTTCGAACTTGGCCGAGGAGGGGAGGTCCAGGGCTGATTACACTGGACAAATCTTGAAAGACATTTGCGCCTATTACGGCTATTCAGAATTCCTAGCTGAGAAATTGTTCCACCTGTTTTCTCCTCAAGAAGCATTCTCATTCTTCGAGGCCAACGAGAAGGAGCGCCCTCATGTTATCCGTACAAACACTCTTAAGACAGGACGCAGGGAGCTTGCACAGGCTTTGATCAACCGCGGTGTTACTCTCGAGCCTATAGGAAAGTGGTCTAAGGTCGGACTTCAGATCTTTGAATCCCAAGTTCCGCTAGGTGCTACGCCTGAATACCTCGCCGGTCACTACATCCTCCAGGCTGCATCGTCTTTCCTTCCCGTTATGGCTCTTGCGCCTCAGGAGCATGAGCGAATTCTAGATATGGCAGCTGCTCCCGGTGGTAAAACAACCTACATTTCGGCTTTGATGAAGAACACCGGATGCGTCTTTGCAAACGATTCAAACAGGGCTCGCACTAAGGGTCTAATTGGCAACATTCACCGCATGGGGGTCAAGAACACCATTGTCTGTAACTACGATGCGAAGGAGTTCCCCAAGGTCATCGGTGGTTTTGACAGAGTTCTTCTTGATGCTCCCTGCTCGGGTACCGGCGTCATTTCCAAAGATCCCAGCATCAAGACAAACAAAAACGCAAAGGATTTCATGTTACTCCCGCATCTTCAGAAACAGCTTCTTCTCTGTGCCATTGATTCTGTCGACCATGCTTCTTCTACTGGTGGATATCTTGTCTACTCTACTTGTTCAGTAACAGTTGAGGAAAACGAATCAGTCGTCGAATACGCCCTCCGAAAAAGACCTAACGTCAAACTCGTCGAGACCGGCCTTACCTTCGGGAGAGAGGGTTTCACCAGCTACCGTGGAAAAACATTTAGCGAGAAGATGAAATGGACTAGGAGGTTCTACCCACACATGTACAACGTCGATGGTTTCTTTGTAGCAAAATTCAAGAAGATTGGGCCTACCAGGGCGACGGCGGCCAACGGAACCAAGGCTGATGGGGCCACAGAAGACGAGGGGAGTGGAGTGGATAACAATGATGTTCCATTTGGGGGGTTTGATGATGAGGCGGATAGGGAGCTTATGGAAAAAGCAGCGAAAAAACACCTCAAGAGGAAGGGGCTCAACCCGAAAGCCGTAGCCTACAGCAAGGGGGAAGTGGTCACTACCGCCGCTGAGGAGCCTAAGGCGCTAAAAGCCGAACCTACTATGAAGGGGAAGGAGAAAACTCTAGGCAAGAGAGAAAAACAGGAGGAGAGGGCCCCGAATAAAAGGAAGGAAGCCCCAAAGACCGACAAGAAGTCCAACTCCGACAAGAAGCCTGAGCCTACAAAAACGGCAGGCCCCGCTAAGGGTAACGCAAACGGAGAACCGAAAAAGCCAGCCAACGGAACCGCTCCCTCCCCCGGCTCCGCGTCTTCGAAGAAAACCCGATCGGTTAAGAAGTTTGAGAAGCAAAAGCAAAAGAAACCTGGGAAAAAATAGTTTGGTTAGACTGTGGGTTCAGAAAAGTTCTGGTTTCTTCTTTTCTAGTTTTGTTTTTCTCTTATATGGAATCCCTTATGCCATAGTTTGTGCATATCCAACCCGCTTTTTATATCTCTGGTCATGGCTCAGTGGAGGGACGATAGTGTAGGATTCGATGTTAATATCTCAATTGCTCAATGAGTCCATGTGAACCTAGTTGCGGTGGGAATGGTGGCAAGTAGTCTAGCTTCTGCGAAGTTCCGTGGATGCGGGGGTTCGCGCTGTAGACTCAGTACAGGAGAGAACTATACCAAAAATGGGACCGGGTGATTGGAGTATCGGCCGCCGGCCAGATATGTTGCGATATCACTTGAGAGCTAAACTCTGTAAATTCCGTCTATTTAACATCACGCTGTCCGGCAATCACATCTAAACCGATGTCTGTGCCGCCAGGGACAACAAACTCTACGAGGACTTTAGACCCCGAGTCCCACAACGACGCATATTAACTTATTCCCCTTCGCACGGGGAACCCAGCTAGCAACCCCAGCTATATAGAGTCCGCCAACTTCAACTATGTCCGGGATAAGAGGCCAAGCAAGATTTTAAGCTGCCCAACACGTGGAGCACGTGTCCAGCAACGCGGGAACCCCCCGATCCCTTGTTCTCTCGTAGGTTTGGTGTTATCCCGCAATCATTATTTGTATCTATTTTGTGCGAGATGGGCAGGGATCATAACCTGCCTCTAAGTGGGTCTTGGGCCAGGTTGAGTGAGCACGGTACACCGCTACGGGAGTGCTACTAATGATGTGCTTCTGGGGGGACTTGGGCTGTTGGGATAATTGCAGAGGAGGTACCGTATCTTGATGATAATATCATACTCTAGTATGAACCGATCACTACAAGGATTTAACGGACTTCTATCAAGCTGGCGTCATAAACTATCACTCATCCCAAGAAACGAGGCAATCCCCGGTATTAGCTGCCCCAGAGCCCTAGATATATTCTCTAGTAAAGGAGGAAATAGCCCACCCGCGACTCACCCCTTGCCACCACCGAATAAGCGCAACGCGGCTTGAGCTTAATTCTTAGACGTCATGATCCAGCTAATGTTAATTTCGACTCGGTATTCTTTGGTGAAGATCTGGGGCGCGGGCGCGGGAGGTTTGCGATTGCGGGCACCAGAATTCCCGACAAAAGAAAATCTGGAAGAATGGTCGGGGGTGGCGAGGAAGTTGCACAGTTCGGGTACGGTGTTTGTGAGAACTACCTTATGTTGAACCTGTAGTCGTGTATACACATGGCAGTAGGTAATCATCGGCTATCTATTAACCACATCTAAGTTTCCCCGGAGTGTCGATACTTATTTGGATGGTGTGCTCACTTGATAGCGAGTATTTGGGAAGTATTGCGGATGTGAGGGGACAGTGGGTAGTAGTAGAGCATACGCCCAAAGTGATTTGAGTACAGTTTTGTGACCGTCAGGGGATCGCGGGAGGTTGGTTGGTAGATATTCGCGTTTTTTTTTTTTTTAAAAAAAAAAAACGACCCTGACGCGGAAAATATGGCTAGAAATTCATCCGGAGTGAGCAGTTGAAATAGAAATGCTGAAAATAAACTGCCCGAGTTTCTGCAAAGCTCCCGTTGGCGTCGTAGTCTTGCGTAAGGTGATGAGATTGATGGACGGCACGATATACCGGTATGTGACTGGCGCCAGACTCTCCGGACTTCGAGAAATTTAGAAGCGATTTTCTCTGTTTCTATTCTATTCGCACCCCCAACACTATGCTCCTCCTCAAGTGATAACCTATGACATCTTCACCATCCGGTTTTCTATTGTGCATCATAATAGAATGTGAGCAATAGTATTGAAACTGAGCCCTAAAGCCCTTAGCCACATTGTTGTTTCCAGGCCCTACGTTCTCCTTATTATGCTGCCAGAGGCCACCCCCTCGTCCATCCTGTCTATATAAGACCACCCATCTTCCACCTTTTTCCTCCTTCTCATCAACAACCACTCACCTCAACAACCACACCTGCAAACAAAATTCTCTACCTCCTGCTGCCTGTATGCTGTTTTTATATAATGCCTTGCTAACACCTCTACAAGTGGCAGTACATACAAGGGATCTGAGTCCAACTTCAGACTCATGGTATGATACATTCTCCTATTCCATTCTTTCATTTTTCTGATATGATAAATGATAATGAGTTTAACTAACATGAGATTGGTTCAAGAGAACAGATGAAAAAAAAAAAAAACAATTAGACTCCAGATGGATCAGAGCATTCCTGACATGGGGATTACCAAATATTATCGAGTCTGGAGGACCTCAAAGAGGTAACCAATGGCACGGTTGACTATTTTAAGATAAGTACTCTGCCAACTGTTAGTATTTGAGAGGAGTTTCATCTGTTGCCACCACCGAGGTAAGGCAGGATATGTAAAGAGGATTAAATCTCACTCCTAATTAATGATTTTCTACAACTTGAACCATCTAGATAATTGGGCAAGAATGCAGCACTTAATATACAAGACACCACTCAACAAAGAAGAAAGGTATTTCTTGAAAATGCTGGTGAGGATATATCGCTATCCCAGCCTTCTGCAGTAATTCTTGTACCCTAAGGTGGTTTCCTAATCAGTGAGTTATACTCTGGAGGGGTGGAGGTGGGTATAACTTGGAGTTTTTCCAGTACAGGTTGGGGCAGTAGTGGGTTTACCTTGGAGTTCTTCCATTCAAGTTGGAGGGGTAGTAGAGGGCACAATTAATTTTTACAATATGGGAGAGTGGAGGTAGACTCACCTTGAAGTTCAACTACTATTTAAGTTGGAGAGATGGTGGAGGGCACAACTAAAAGATTTTATAGTTTGGAAGGGTGGTGGTAGGTTTACCTTAGTGTTCTCCTATCATTCAAGTTGGAGGGGTGGTGGTAGGCACAACTAATTTTACCATATAGGAGGGTAGCAGTGGACTCTCCTTGGAGTTCTCCTACCATTCAAGTTGGAGGGACAGTGGAGGGTACAACTTAAAGTTATTACAGTGTGGGAGGGTGGGAAGGGATTTCCAGTTCTACAAATAAGAATTTTAGTATGTATATACACTGCATTACTGACAATCCTAAGATCTTTGACACTGGTAACAGAATACTGATTTGGCTTCATGTAGAATTGAGCATCCATAGCATGCCAGTGGAATCACCAAATATTATCAAGTCCGGAGGACCTTAAGGAGGTAACTGATGGCATGGTTGATATCATAAGTACTTTTGGATTTATTTACCCCCCTGCCACTAGCAGTAAGGGCAATAATGTACTCCAACCATTCAGATAATTGGGCAAGAAGACAGTACTCAATATTCTAGCAACACTTCTTGACCCTGGTGGTTCCCTGGCTATCGGAGTAGACTCTAGGAATATGGAGTGGCCGGGTGGAATAGAGGAAATGGCCAGGTAGGATGGAGGGAATGGCTGGGTGGGATGGAGGGAATAGCCAAATAAAATGGAATAAGTAACTGGATGCCTGGATGCCAGTGGGATGGAGGGAATGGCTGGGCGGGATGGAGGGAATAGCCAGGAGGATGCCAGTGGAGCAATATTCAAGTAAGTAATCCCTCTGCTTTCTTTTATGCTTTTGCATTTTCTTTTACTGTACTCGGAGAATTGTGTTTGCTTCGTGGTGGAGGTTTGAGTTATGGTTATTACTATCACCGGCTGTTTTTTATCAATCTCGAAAGGAGAAACCTGTACTACTTTCCTCACCGAGTTCAACTATTGCTCGTGTGATTAGTAGAACAGGTTACATTCATATAATTATCACCTTAACACACTAGAGTAGAGGTAGATAAAATTGAAAACTTTTAATTTCACATTACCCTTCCCGTAAGCTCATCCCATGTATACGGTGACAGGCCTCCCACCCCCTCCTATGATACAATATCACTTACCCCATAAGCCTCAACACCACATTAGTAGACGAAACCGGAATGTGCCTGCTATCCGATGACAAATTTAGCTAAACACGCCGTGAAGTATGTAGGACAAGTGTCTACACACCGGTATGCCGACCACTATGCTGGAGAAACAGAAGGGAGCCAAAGAGACGTGTAGAGATAGATATCATCTAGCGAGGAAAGAAAGGCATATGCCGATAAGAGAGCAAGGGATCCGAAAAAAAGGAAAAAAAAAAAAGTGGGTAAAGTGAGGGAGCTTTTACAGAGTGCCGGAGACAAATGTGTATGAAAGAAGCAGCAACATGGTGAAATATAAGGAATCTCAACACGACTCTGGTATCCCTTACAAATGCTCTAATGCCCGCTCATCGCACCCTCTGCAATGTCCCCTGTTTGCGCCATCCTTATCCAGCGGGTGGCTTATACGAGTTTTCCGCAAACGCCGAGGGACCATGGTGGGTGTGAGGAAAGCACTGGACACGGCAGTAGTATGCTTCGGCACACATGGCGATAGGATGCCCAAGCCTTTGCCCCTTCCTGCCGCTACAGGAGGGGATAATGACCAACATGCGGATAGCACCATGAGCCTGTTCCAATGTCGGGTCACGAGGAATGATGAGGGGTAATGTAACCCACGATATTGCAGTGTCCGTAGTTGGCAGGGCATATTTGAGGATTGGAGCGTAAACTAGGATCTCGGTAGCTTGTTTCGAAGAGGGTACTCGAGCATAGTGAGGACAACAAAAGACTACCAAACTTGATATTTGCTGCTGAATTTTTTTCCGCATTGTTCGCTGCCTCCTCTGTGATTGCCCATGTGTGCTCCTACCCCTAGTTTATGGAGTCGGGTCGCGCCATGCCGGCCACAAAAGAGTCGGACGTTCAATTTCGGCACATCCTGAGGTCTGGAATGGAGTGGAAGGATGGTGATAAACCGTGCCGTACTGTACTGTACGGTGCTAGGGGAGATCACGAGATGGTACTTTTACTACAAGTATTGCAGACGGAGCAAGCCTGTGCCCATTGATGTCCAGATTAGACAAATGTCGAGAGTACGTGATTTAGAGGCATATACTGCGCCCAAGAGGATTGGCAGACAATCTTTTATCTCACCGCAAATTTACTTCGCGACTGACGTGATACGGTATCTGCTGCGATGATGGTCATATGGCAAGATTTTACTATGGCCCAGTGGTCCATGGAAGGGACCAAGAAATGCCCACCCTTAGTAGCACTAATGTCAAACGATCTGGCATCAGTGCTGCACGAGAGCAATTTCACTACAGTGGCCTAGGCTCCTCGAGGCTCCTCGAGACCCCGAGGGAATTGATATGATAAACTCCTTTCGTTTGATATGACGTGATCCGGGACCCGATTTTTATGCGCCGAAGAGTCGTAGTAGGCATGGCGTCTGAGTGGATAAACTCCCGAATCACCCCTCGCAGATAAACAGGCGCCCCGCACCAAAAGTTCTAGCGGGAGCCGTGGACTTAGACTCAAAAAAAATAAAAAAAATACTCGTATCATACAGTACGGTTGTTCTCCTCTCCATGTAATACCCGCCCGCCCCGGCCTCGCTCCGATTGGTAGACTAGGACGTGGCCAGGCCGTCCAGGATTGAATAGACACCATGCATGAAGTTCACACGAGTAGTTTTCTGGATCGGTGGGTTGAGCCTCGTACGGCGTACTACCTCCCATCCGTGACCGTGATGTTATGATGCTGCGAGGAGTGTGGGTTAGACTACCGATAAGCAATGGGCCTCTCCCAACCCTTCTGTCTTCTGTAGGCTAGGGAGTTTGGGAGTGGATTCTTGGAAATGATTGGATAGCATGATAGGACAATGTTTGTGTAACCTCAGATCCTGATAGCCCCGCCTTCCCTAAGGTTTCAGCCCCCCGCTTTCTTCGGCTCAGCAGCCCACAAAACCTGCTCGGGACCTCTATATATTGTGCCAGACCCACCGTACCAGTTCAGCACAGCCATCACTCTAAACAGAACGTCACAGACGAGCCAACACCCCCACCCCCTCTAGAACTGGTGTCGTCAACATTTACAATATTATCAAATCGAGCACACCGACAGCCGAACCGGAATCCGCTCATCATGCGGGCCCCATATATCGAAGCAGTATTGTCTCACCACCGCAATCCCGGGTAAGAAAGGCAATCTTCTGGGGAGAGAAGCGGATATCGCTAACAGCGAGCAATATTAGCTCCCTGGTGCCTGACGGCTTGCACGGTAGTGCTGATGGAAACGATGCGCCCTCCGCCGGGCTAAATCGCAATTTCCTCACTCTGAAAGAGCAATCTACGACGAACATGTTAGGTGCCATCCTAACCACCGGAAGATCACCAAATTGTTATGGTGCCTTTCCTTACCGGGAGGCCTCACAGGACCTTTTCTCCAGAGGGAGATGAGATTAAGAGTAGTCCGGAGGCGAAGTCGGAGTGGTACTGATCCCAATGCAATGGACGATGGCGTGCGGGCGGATATAAGGAGAATGACTCTGGAAAAGATTTCCGAAATGTGCGTAGGAGGAACCTAATAATATCAGACGCCCATAATCACTAACAAATGCTCTACAGATTCCTGCTATCCGCTTCCCTCAACATTGACGCGATCCTGGGAGAGGTGAGGGTCAATTAGAGAAGATAAAGAGGCTTTCCGAGATGACGGGAGGAAATTGGTCTGGTGTACGCAATTGTCCTACAGTGTACGAAAACGCAGAGAGAGAGCAAACCAAGACTCGGGATGGAGGTGCTGATGTGGGTATCACCTCCTGAGCTTTGGTTAACTCGCGCGCCGATGAGCTATGTCACGCATTATGAGTAGAAATAGGGTCGGTAGATCTGAATACTCAAAAAATTCCTACGATATAAACACCGTTGGAATGACACCCGGAATATGTTTACCATTCAACTATGAGCCCAATTCCACGTGATTTCTCGAATGATCCCGAAAGGAAAAAATAACAAATAAAAGATAAACCTAAAGTACGCTAGCAACAAGCTTCCGGTATCGTGACTCCTGAGTTCAGTTCACATGGTAATCTGAGCATCCAAAGTACTAATAACAGCCATATATTGTGCTCTTCCCCAGATGCCAACCCACTAGCTCATACTCTAATGGTAGGCTTTTCTAAACTGCGCAGTTTCTCGCACATGGGACGCTCACAAACAGATACATCAAGGTCACCCCACGAGCCTTGAGGCGAGTGATCTCCTGTGATAACATATTAACCATTTCTGACATAGAGCGCCTCAGGCCGCACGCATCCCTCCCCACAAGCTGCACGATGCTCCCCAGAGGTATACCTCTCTCCCCTCCCTCTCTAGGTATCAAAAGAGCAATGCATCTCGTAAGAAGCAATCCAACCCAACAGGCCCCAAACAAACCCCAGCCAAAACCCGACCCTTCCTCCCATCACCATCATTACAATACAACACCGAATAGATGCCGCGCTCCCTCCCCAGTCGTTCGTTATTCAGCCCGACCCAACTCTACCGGAAAAAGAAAAAGAAAACAGGCCGACAAATTGCGAATTGGCGGTGCGTCAAGCATGCCATACCACATCATACCATCACTCACTCCCCCCAAGGAAGAATCCACCTGCCGTGGATCCCCCCAAACCGGAAAAACGAAGCGAGGCAGAACCTATCCATCTGCCACTTTACCACTATTTCATTATTTTATCTTATTTCCCTTCTTCCATTGTACCGCCCTACCATTCGCTCACATCATCATCACCCCCCCCCCCACCACACACACCCCTAACTTACATTCCACATTACGGAAGAAGAAAAATAAAATAAAAAGTGTTGGGGTTATAAACCGAGTGAGATGGTATGAATGCATCGGGTTCTTGTTGTGCGCACGTACCACCGTACAGCAATCGAGTATATCATACGGTTCGCCCGATGCCCTGCTGGAGCCCTTTTCGAGGAGATGGGATACAAGATCATGGGGATATTCTAGATCGAACAATTGTGTAGTGATGGTAGTATTGTTGGAATTATAGCTGTCGGGTCACTTCTTTCTTTCTTTTTTTAAATTTTTTTTTTTTCTTCAAGTCCAAAAAAAAAGAAAAAGTATAGTACCGGTATTGGGGGGTTGCTTTTGCCATACTTTTTAGACCGTATCCGTAGATGTTAGGCGCAAGGAACTTACGCATTGTAGGCCACTGGATTTGCCCTCACGGATGGCCGTGTAATCCAATGTCTCTGCGAGTATGATATTTCTCTTAATTATTCCTATTTACTTGCTCACGCTTAGGTCGGTTAGACTGTCAATTGAAAGCAATGATATAATACCAACTGCCACCACATCCCACTATCAGCAATATCTCCCGCATCGCTTCACCAACTCTACCACCTAGAATATTTCCTCCCACAAACCTATCCCCCCACTTTTAAGTAATCCATCTTTACAAAAGAGGTGGATCGGGGCTCCTCCCCTGGCGCCAAGCTCCAGTGTCAGACAGACAGCGTAGGTATTGCTCCAACTCCGCATCACAAGATGCCGCTCGGGAACAAATCCGCAACTTAGCAAGCCCTCTGGGAAAGCTACGGATACGATTCTAACTCGAGAAGGACAAAAAATTTCACTTAACCACAACCGTACCAAAGTTCCGGGACAACTCCCGCCCGGCCGGACATACACCCGGAGGCAGAGGATTTGGTACTCGGGCTGGTTAGAGGGATGCTATTTGGTAGGCTTCAGACACCATGCCCGCGGGGGAATGCCCGGGCAACGTGTGAGTCGGAGGCTGAACTCGAGGTCGCAATACTGAGCTAGGAGACACGGAAGGAAAGTGCAACTACCATACTACAGCTGCGGCGATGAGGGGAAAGAAAAGAGTAGAAGGGAAAAAGAAAGCGAGTGATGGCCCAAGCACCTCTCTACCACTTTCATCGAGAACAAAGAGTAAAAGCAAGGCCACCATATCACGCTGGAGGCCAGATACCGAATTTCCAAACGCCACAGGAGAAAAGAGCGAAATTTCAAACCGAAAAGATGGACCCAAGTTACTGATCTAATCCACCCACCTTCTTTGTCGCTAATTTCTGCAGCGCTTCCCCTACTTCCCTCGCAATCTGATCTGTAGCTTCGTCGACGACTCCCAGTTCACTGCCCAACTGTCCGAACAACCAGGCTTCTTTTAGCGAACGGGTTAGTGCTAGTAGGTCCTCTGCTGCACGTATCTGTGAGCTGTTCGTTAGTCCTAGTGGCAAAAAGTAGCAAAGGAAGTGGGGCGATGCCATTGAAGAAGCGTGGCACTCAATCTGGTACGCTTCTACGGCTGTAGCTGTACGATCTTTGACTATACGATCTTTGTCATAAACCTAGGTTAATTGGTTAGAAACGAGTATCTGGTCGGGAGGAGCCCGGAGTAGTGGTCGAGGGTGAAGGAGCGTGGGGGGTAATACAGAAGCCAACTCGATGATACTCTCAAAACGTTTCAGAAGTATGTCAAGGTTATTGTTCACCCGGCCTTTCACAATCCCCCCCCCGGAACAGAATCAGCCACACACGCTCAACAAACATAACTTGCTCCTACGAGGGGGAGGTATGATAAATGCAAACCTTGAAGCCCAGACCTAACACCCTGAGTAGGATCGCTCATACTTTAATATTGTGTGAGGCGATTAGGGGTTCGGAAGTACAACTCTGTAGTCTTGCGGGCCGAACGAAGAGAGAGGGTGAACAAGTACGGCTATTGCGGCTACTGCTGGAGCTCCTGTCGCTGCGGATCCAAAGTAGGGGGAGGAGAATAACGATCGTAGGGACTCGGCGTACGGTAGGCTCCTCGTGGGCTCAAGGGTACCGTGACCGTAGCGAATCGAGTAGACAAGACGATCTCTCTTATCATAGAGTAGCAACGATCCCCGCCAAGGATTGCAAACACGACTGGGGCTTAGGGTAGGCGATGATAGCGGCACCGGCAGCTGGTAGGCCAATTACCGAGATGCTGTATGGATGAGATTAGAATAGTGTCTGCCTTCTTCACAATGGGGACCTAAACCCAGATAACTGAGATGAGATATGGTACTTGGTGAAAGGCCACGGGACTATTGGCGTGATTGCCGGTATTTGTTTGGGTTTCCCATAGTTTAAATACGACTGAACTACGACCATGTCGAACATAGGTGCGGCCGTTTAGTTATACTGGTACTACGGTACGATACTCGTAGAGGATCTTGTGTACAATACTACCCGCAGTACTGTACTTGTACAAGTGTGGAGCTTCGGTTCTCTTTGCCCATCATAGCCTCAACACTTAACGGCCAAAGACCATGGGCTCCTCAGCTGTGCTAATTGTATGATAATGTACAGCACGGCACTGGCAGTATAAAGAACACGTAGGTGGCCCACCATCCAAGGACCGGCGCCGCTATCATAAAGCAGATTATTCTCAGGGCTATAAACTACAACTGAGAGCGGAAGCTACAAGTCTGCATCATCAAAAAGCAACGACATTTCCCTTTGGTCAGTCAGGGGGGTATTATTATGAAGCTAGGAGAAAAGGTATTTAAAAATCAAGAAATCAAGAAATGCGGTAAAGGGATACCAGCACAGCAAGTTGCCCCCATTTATCGCACATATTTGTTCTGCAAGACATACACAGTTAGTTAGTGACCCCGGCCGGCTGTTGTCAAGATAATGGGTATACAGGCGAATGGAATACATACCATGAACCGCTTATGGAAGTCCGATCGTAAAAGGTCCTATACGTGCGGCCGGTATTAGCATAAAGTGGAGAACAACACATCTCTCAATATATTGGAGCATACATTAACAAATTCCTTCCTCTTATTCTTGTCGTCTGTGCCGCGGGCTTGGTTTTTGAAGATGACATCGTCATCCCACCTATTAATTTATATTTAGCGCCCGTGAAAATGAAAAAAAAGAAAGAGTTAATTAATCAATTAAAAAAAGAGAAAATAGGGAAAAAAACTCAGGTCCAACAAACCTTCGCTTTAGCTTGAAGTCTGTAGCCGAAGGATTGAGAAGTGGATTCCCACGAGCAATATCGAATTCTTTCTTCTCTTGCTCTTCAGCAGCTCGTTCGCGTTCCTACGGTAAGATATGAGTTAAAGGCTTCCATAAGAGAAGATTAGCTGTTGATCACTACAGCAGCAGCATACCTCACGCTCACGCTGCTCAGCCCTCTCCTTCTTGATTTTCTCCAATTCCCGTAGCAATTCGGCAGTCTCGTCTTCTTCGTCTTCATCGTCACTAGAACCCCACAGGCTCAGCACAACCCCATAAGAAATGAGCGGTAGAACCAAACCTGTCTTCTTCACTACTATCGCTATCACTCCCTCCATCCGAATCTGCATCAATGTCTCTCGTCTCCTCTAGGATTTTTTGTCTCTTCGCTTCCAGACTCTCTTGCTCTGGTTCACCTCCAACATCATCATCACTGTCCCTAGAATCCTCAATAGCTCTCTTCTGCCCACTGCCCTCTACCCTCTCAGGGGACTCAGCTTCGCTTGCTTCTGGCGGAGGAATTCCCTTCCCCTTCTTAGCGAAATGTGCTGCCTCTGCCTTCAGGAGATCTGCGCGAAGATCTCGGACTTCGGTGTCTGCGTCACCGCCCTGGCCGGGCTGCCGGACCTTTAGCTTTGTATGCGCTGGTAGGAGGCGCTGGTGGTATGCCGGTCCCTTGGGAGCTTCTTTCCCGCGAGCAGGATCGAAGGTTGGTCTGCGATAACAAACATTAATAAATGTTCCTTATTCCCACTCCTCCTCCGATCATCCACTCCTGAGAAAAACAATAAAAGAACCGCACCTATGAGCTGTAGTCATTGTGAAAAATTTGTTGCTTTGGTGCCCGGGGGGGAAGAAGAAAGTAGCTTGTAAGTTTGTAAGTTTGGGTGGAAGGGGGGGTTGTTGGGGTGAGAAGGGTTGCCGCGAGAGTTTTCCCGGGAATGAGAGCTAATGCCCGAATTTGTGGCTCCAGGAGTCCTTGAACCAGCTCCCACGCCACACCCAATCTTTTTCAGCCGCTTTTAGAAAGGATACGAACATCCACCACTGTTGGACCCTGCTCGGACTCAGACTACCCTCCACCCGTACCAACAACAAATCCCACCACCTCTCTCCTGAGCAAATACAACGAAATGCCGAGGGAACTAGATCCGACAGCTAATGAAAAGAGCTTCATCCTCGATGCGCTAAACCAAAAGCTCCGAATCGATGGTCGGGACCTGGATTCCTTTAGAGAGTTGGAACTTAACTTCGGAGATGATTACGGGCTCGCAGATGTGCGATTGGGGAAGACCCGGTACGCCACCCACCCACCCTGACTACTGCCCCTCGCACCCGAGTCCCAAAACTCAATTGAACGGACCACAAACTGCTAATACCGAATGCCGCTCCAGAGTCCTCGCCCGTGTTTCCGCAGAAGTAGTAAAGCCCTTCGCCGACCGTCCATTTGAAGGAATCTTCACAATAACAACAGAGCTAGGCCCTATGGCCTCCCCAGCCTTCGAACCCGGCCGGTAATAATAAGCCCCCCCCCCCTCCCTTCGGCCCCCACTAATCCACTAATACGAACACAGTCAAACCGAACAAGAAGTCCTCCTCTCCCGTCTCATCGAAAAAGCCATCCGTCGCTCAAACGCGCTAGATACCGAATCGCTTTGCATCGTCGCCGGACAGAAGTGCTGGCAGATCCGCGCAGATGTGCACTTCCTCTCCCACGATGGCGCCCTCGTGGACGCCTCGTGCATAGCCGTGGTAGCTGCCCTCCAGCACTTCCGCCGCCCGGACGTCTCGATCGAGGGTGAGAAGGTCACCATCCACACCATGACCGAGCGCGTCCCCGTGCCCCTATCCATCCTGCACGTTCCTATCTGTGTCACTTTCTCGTTCTACCTCGACGGCGAGGTGTGTCTTATCGACGCCACATTGCAGGAGGAGCAGCTAAGGCAGGGGGACATGACGATCACCCTCAACAAGTTCGGTGAGCTATGTCAGATTTCGAAGGCCGGCGGATTAGCCATCAATGCATTGAATTTGCTCCGGTGCGCCAAGGTCGCACTGGTCAAGGTTGGGGAGATCACGGCTACCGTGCAGAGGAGGCTGGAGGAGGATGCCGCCGTCAGAGTGCGGAGGGATAATCTATTAGAGAGCAAAGCGGATAATGAGCGGGCTTGAATAGGCCCTTGGACTACGGGTGCCTATTGCAGCACTAGGCCCTTCTTCCAACTGATATTGTGACTGCTCGACGCCTTGTAATGACAGTGGAGTGATTTTCCATGACTAACCTGGGTGGGAGCCATGCTGCGCTGATTGACCAGACAACCAGCCACAGAAGTATAAGAAAAGCCAAGAGGATAAGAAGTATCGCTCTCGGCATAGACTATCTAGACCCTCAAGGAATCCCCCACAACCCAATCAGCCAAGTACTTCCATCATAGCCCATCACTCGCCATGCCACTACCGTACCTGCGCATCATTACAAATACACTCTCCACATCCACTCCTGCAATGCTGCAACCATTTCACCACACCAATTATCTGTCACGCCAGACATCTCTCCCTCTCCTCAGAACCATACGACCATCCACAAATGTATAAGACGTAAACTAGAAAAAGAGAAAAAATGCAAACACTATACTGCTGGTAAACGGAACAAAAAGGAGGAAAAACAAAACAAAACTTTAGCCCAATTTCCATAAAAAAGCACAATGGTATCGAACATGAGGGAGGATATATAGAAAAGAAACCCTGAAGAAAAACCAACGTCTTTGACAACACATGCGCGATAATAGAATAGGAGAAAAACGGTGATAATCAAATGTGCAGTAATAATCTAGCGAGCCTGTCAAACTAAGTACTAAGAACAGCGAGTGGGTCTTTGGTATGCAGTAGGTGTTGGAAGGAAGAGGCGTCACGACTGTTTAATCACTCAACCTTGCCCTCGGTAACCTCCATCAGGTACTTTACGAACGTCTTTTTATGGACCTGAACGGTTGTTAGTGATATATTTAGCAAAGACACCGCGGATCCTTTCGGGATACGTACCACTCCAGCAAACTGTCCATCCCGCAATACACACATATATCTCAACCCCAACTTGGCGAAACACTCGTGAACCAGCTCCATGGGCGAGTGTCTTTCCAGTGCAACGGGAGCAGGGTCGATGTACGGTGAAAAATTTGTTGGATCTTTTATTGGGTCGTTGTCAGATATCCCGTCCCACCACTCGCCCTTTGGCTCCATGCAACACAGTTCGTCTTGCTCAGAGGATTGTAGATTGTCAAGAGCAAACTCTAGGTCCGGAGCAGGAATAAGGCCAACGAGAATGTTATTTCTAACGATCGGTAGTCCACCATCGAGTTCTCCAACGGCCTGTAGCATCTGTAGCTTTTCGCGAAGCTCATCAGCAGGAATATAAACCGAATCCGTGATGTCAATTACTCGTTCCGGTCGTGGCCTCGGTGTAATGTCACTAAGCTGAGAAGAAAACACAGGCCGCATTTTGGTATCGAGATATGGATAGGAATTTAGGGCAGTAAGAAGATCCTAGCAATCATTAGCAGAACATATCTCCGATGGAACAGACAGGAACAAACATAAATGCTTAGGGGTTCAATAGCATCTGCAGTCCATTTTGATACAAGGACTGCTAACGAGAATGGCAAGACATGATCAAGGCTGCCAGTCATTTCGAATAAAATAATAGCAAGTGTCACTGACAGTCTAGTGACCCCACACATAACTGCACCTGCGCAAACCTGCACTTTGTTATTCCCAAGAACCAATAATAGCACGGACCATGCAACTTACAAGAGCGTATACCCCTGGAGTTACGCAGGCTGACGGGGCTCCGCCGACTGGGCATGAGGCGAATAAGGGGGAGTGCGGGAATTTGCTGCATCCGACATTAATTGTACTCCAGAGTCGGAACAGACAGTCAACTTACTAAACGGCGTATTCCACAGCGAGGCCAACGACGTGTCCCATAATGCCACCAATAACCATGGTAGGTACATAAACTGTGAACGAATTAGCTTTTGCGCATAGACAATGGAAGCGTATCAATCTACCTCCGGCGGGAACCTTGGTTCCGAATGTAACAACGCTAGTCAGGTTAGTACCCAGGCTCAACACTGGAGAAGGGAACCTACGTGAGAACACTTTTAATGGCTAAGGCAATCAAAAGATCCAATATAGTACTTGGTATCTCATCGGGCTTCGGGCAAAGTCCCGAGTGATCGGATGGGTTCCCCGAACAAGGGCTCGCTAGCTCGAAGAGGAGCTCACTGACTGCCAATTTTACGTATCGGTTCCAGTAAGATATCGAGCCAGTCGCAAGAGCAACAAGACTGAGCTCCAGAACCGGGTAGGTCTTGATAAACTTGTTTCGCCGGAATGTAGTTGCCCAGAATTTACTAGCCTTAATGAAAAAGGCACCGTAAACGCCACCACACATTCCTAAAAACACAAATACAAAGAGTTCAAATATATGCCAGTCAGAGGTATACCGAACCTCGAAAAGTACAATCTTGTTTGTCCCATACGGATTCAGGAATTTCAACGACAAAGCAGCCACCTAAGGGTATAATATAAGCAACGACTCTACGACCATGGGTAACAGGAATCCACCCACAATGCAGCAGAAAAAAGTCCTGAACAGGGTTTTTGAAGGGAAATAGTAGCTTTAGTGCGTCAGAAGATTTACTGGCCACCGTGTATCACATACAAAAACTTACCTAACTTCCTCGAGACTAAAAAGAACTCCGCCGATTGGGGCACCGAATGCGACCGCAACCCCGCTCGCCGCACTAGCACTCAGAACCTCCCTGCGCTTGCCTTTTAAAGTGAGCAAATCTACAAACATTGCCTGTTGAATCGGTGCGAAGTACCATCGTTGTGGTTATACTTGGAGAATAGACGACAGGCAATATTTCCTACGCAAGTGGCGATGTGAACATATGGCCTGCAATATGTCAGTACGCCCGTTCCAGCAGACCAATCGGGTGAGATTGAGCCCACCCCTCCTTCCCCAAACTCAGCCCGGAAGACACACTCAAAACCAGGGCGAATAATTTAACCACAAGGGTTTTCAGGCCCAGATACCCCTTCATCAATCTTAATATGGACCTGCCAAAGTCACTGGAGAGGACATACGTGGAGAACAAATCCGGACAAAATTACTTTGACCTCTGCCACACCACTACCAGCAGCAGAATAGTAAACAGTTGGTGGGGCGGTGACAGCCTTCGCTTCGGCGCCGGAGCTTCCGCCTGGAATTTGCGAGAGATCTTCGTCTACGGTCTGGATCTGCAGAGCCCCAGGGTAAACCGTGCGAGTAGTCATGGTAAGCAGCGATGAAGCAGTGGCTAGGATCACCGTCAAGGTAACATATGCAATATAGTCGATATGCTCGGTAGATGCTTCAGACTTCGTAATTGCCTGTGACCAAGTTCTCCACATAGGGCAGAATTCATTCGCTATCATATGATTAGTGAATTTTTCTTGTCGTTCAGCACGATATACCGACTAGTGTCGCTTAAACAACACTTCTTTTTGCTGAAATACCACCCATCTGTGTGACGCCAGGCATTAGCTCATACTTGTATAGCAACTAGGATACTGGCCGGACAATCACGCAGACTCACTCGTGCAATATCCCTCCTTGTAATCGAAAAGGACATTCTCCGTAACGTCCACGAAAAAGGCTAGGGAGGCGGTCACAAAGCCAATAATCGCAACCAAAATCCACCCTTGAGCACCGTCAAACCAAGCGTAGACTCTGCCTCGGAAATCCCTGCGAGCCCTCAGAGCCTTCACTCGGTGGGCATCCTTGATCGAGTCGTTAATCCAATCTATGTCAACCGTAAGTTTCCACGCACAGCATAGCGATAATCTGAATCCAATTTAGTAGCTGACAAGTGTTTCCGAGACATACCCGTAGAGGTGAACTATAGGTATAGTATCAGTAAACTCCTCGTGTAATTGAGCTTCTATCAATGGGATGCCGACCTGATCATACCAAACACGATCCTCCAAAAGTGACTCATTATTCCTATTCTTAAGATCGTAGCTTGATAGCGCTCTGGTCAAACGTTGGGAGAACGACGGAACTCTGCTAGGTCGAGTAGCCATAGGAGAATGCGAAGAGTGATGTCGGGAAAGTCTCTGTCGAGGGGTTCCCGGATCTGTTTGGTAGTCCCTCCGATCTCCGGAGCCCGATCCTCCAAGCAAGCTGGACTGTTCATCCTGCTCGATATCCCTATCTCTGGAGGAAGCAGAGAGTCTTCGACGATGACTTTGACTTCTCCTCCCGGTCCTCAAATCTCCCTCCGAGACCTGGCGTTGACCAGGCATACTTCGGATGTTGTCGTCCATGATCCAAGTAGGGTGGTAGCAAAAGCGTCGCAGGGACTGAATAACAGCAGAGGCAGTAAAGGGAGCAAAACCACTGCAAACAAAGCACGAAACCCGGATAAAATGGTCAAAGATTTGGTGAGGGGAGCGAGATAGGAGGGGATCAAAGGGAGTACCGGTAAGGGAGTAAGGTTCGGCACGCGTGACGGTTGCGGCAGATGAGTGCATCTCAATGGTGGGACGCGGACCAGTAGTCATGAGGCGGGTTCCTTGGTCGTACGAGTACTCACAGATCCAGGAAATGGGAAGTGTTTGATTTTCCAAACGGAAGACCGCAGCTTCATAGCAGCTCTGATTTACGGTAGACTTTGTCCACAAGAGTTCAAAACATCAGGAATATCTAGATTTTGATAGTTTAAGGATGGGCTTCTCTTCGCCAGTGGCATAGCGTATCATAACAACGCTCCTTCTCTAACATCATTATGGCAAATTGACACTACCAGTATGCCCTTGGGCTGTCTGAAACCATAAAATTCGTTGTCAGGCACGCTAGGGCTATATTGGGCAGTGGTTTGCCATGGTAGGTTAGATGGTAGTATTTTTCGGTATTTGTGGTGCTTGAATGACTCAGCAGCTGGGTTAGCTGGAATATTTTCGGCCAATCGGGAGGCCCAAATCCCCCCAAAACAGATTCAGCCTCCCTGGCAGCGAATTTTACTGTTTCAGGCTGCCCAGGGATACCTGGTACTTGTATCATACTTGGGCGTCATTGTGGTAAATTCATACCGGTAACAAAGCATACCAGATACCCCACTAAGACTCCCCCATCCTCTTTGGCGACATAGGGCACGGTGCCGGTACTTTGATGAGTGCTTGTTGAGCTGCCAAAAGTTGATGTGGCAAAACTGAAATCTGTGCCCGCACTGCACCAGTAACGTACCGGTAATGCCCGTACTGGTGTAAGGGAGGGGAGGGGGGAATGGGAAGGCAGAAGAGGGGAAGGAGCCCACCTCCGGAATTCTTCAACAGTTACGATACTGCCTCCGGCCGCCAGTGCTCACGCTAAGAGATCATTAGCCAAGGTTCGACCTATTCGCGATCCAAACAGAGCCGAGTGGGGTAAATGCTACTATCATATCAGGGTAATTACAGTAGAGTGCATTTTATTCTGCATGCGTTTCGGCCCAGGCTAGAGCAATTGCCGCAGGGCATTCCGCTGCCTGCCGTACGGCGGTAGTAGGGTTGTGCGAGTGAGATACCTGTGCCTTCTGCTAGTCTCTACGAGTACCAATGCCCGCTATGCTCCATTTGCCTTGCACATATGCACAGTCCGGTACAGTACTCGAGTACAAGTACAAGTACAGGTACATACGGCAACCAGATATTTCTGAATGCGGTGTCACCGTACAATCCGGCTCTCCGGTTAATTTTTTTACGAGCCAGGGTCCAGCCCGAATGCCCTAACGGCACTTATAGGGAACTTTCGGCGCCTTTCTATAATATAAAAGAGGCTGGAAGGATACCGGTAGAGCATGAGTACGAGTAGATTAGCACCCTCTACGGAGCAACCAACATCTCCCAGCACGGTATGGCGTTTGCGGATTACGACAAGATCGTTCTCTTTGGAGACTCCATCACTGAGCAGTCATACGACCAGGCGAGGCAAGTTTCGACACTCAAGAGTGATATCGGATTCCGTGAAGCTGATGATAGCTCGTGTGGATCAGAGGATTTGGATTTGGTGCCGCTCTTACAGATGGTAAGTGCCGATCTGATGTTGTCTAGAGCTTCCCCCTACCCAGGTTGACCCATTTTTCTACTTGTAGTCTATAGACGAAAAATTGAAGTGGTCGGCAGAGGATTCAGGTTCGTTTAGCGCCACATACGAGTGGGATACCGGTACTGGTACCTAAATGGTGACTGTCGGATTTCGCTGAGATTTAATCCGCGATTCCCGGGATACCGTATCATGTAGCGGGTACAACACTCTTCATGCATTAGAGCTTATCCCGAAGATCATTCCTCCACCCACCGCAACTTCAAGGATAAGACTCATTGTGCGTTTCCTCCATTCTTTCGGTTGCAATACTTGAGGACACTCCCGAGGCATTTTCTGATCATTGAGGGTTAGACCGTCTTCTTTGGCCCAAATGATGCTACACTTCCCGATAGGTCGCAACATGTTCCCCTTGACCAGTACTCCGAAAACCTGAAGAGGATCATAAACCATCCTCTCCTAGTGGCCCACAGCCCAAGAATCATTCTCATTACCCCTCCTCCAATCTGTGAATACCGCACACAAGACAGTGGTCTTGAGAAAGGAATTTTGGGCATACAGAGACTAGCCGCTAATACGAAAAAGTACGCCGACGCAGCGCTAGAAGTCGGGAAGGCTCTCGGTATCCCTACCGTAAACCTCTGGGAGGCCTTCATGCAGTATGCTGGGGGGTGGGAGGAGGGAAGCCCACTCCCCGGATCAAAGGAGCTCCCAAGGAATGAGAAATTGGGAGAGCTTCTCAGGGACGGTAAGCGTTTCTACCCATGACTTGCCGGAAGGATTATAGGAGAGGCCGAGGATAGCTCATCCCGTGCCTGATCGACTTGCTGGGCCCGACTGAGGTGGGGAAAATTGTAATGGAATATTGAGGCTGATCGGACTCCTTAGGACTTCACTTCGAGCCGAAGGGGTTGGTGCATCACAATCTAGACTGGACTGTGACCACAATATGGTATCCCGCTAACACCTTGCTCAGGTACCGGATTTTGTATGACCTAGTCTTAGAGACCATCCGGGAAAACACTCCTGAGCTTGACCCCGAGAACCTGGAATTCGTATTCCCGCACCACGAGAAGGCTCCAAAGTCCAATTTCTATACCTATGGCCAGGCTTGATGCATGGTCGCTTCACAGCCAATTAGCATACCGGTATGCGGGAGAGATTCTGGATAGGATGGAACCTGTATCGCTAATATCAGCCCCAGCTACCAGCAGTGGTTAGTCGATGCTAGAGCGAGTGGTTAGCTAAGAAGGCCATTATTACCCAATAACACGGGGGTTGTAGATACAATTACTATGCCGTTAACCAGTTGTAGTGTAGACGTGCACATTCAAGCATCGCATTCCAAGTGAAATTTGCTATTGCGACCACTAGTGCAGCAGATGTCCTATCATACCGGTATTATTACTGCAGTAAAATCCAAACACTATTGAGCATCGGTGGACTGGTGCGCATTGTATGATATACGGTAATCTCAGACTTTATGCCTCCCCGGACTGGACCGCGGCTCAGAGTAATGCTGCCACGCCGCTCATTACCCTGCGCGCGGCTCTCACTGTGTACCGGTATGTCAAGTTACTATCCTCGATCCGAGGCACTCATGTCAATAATTCTCGCAATTAGGGGACAATACGGTAAGTCAATCCGCCGGTACACCGCTGGCTTAGTAGGAAGTTCCAGCGCATACAAACGCAGCAACCCTATGGAACCCCCCCGTCACGACCCGTGCATGTAGGAGCAGGGTTCGCAAGGCAAAAATATATTCAGTACCTTCCCCAGAGTCGATTTTGCATCTTATTTCATCCCAAGATCAGACTTGCGGTGAAGCAGTCCCAGTGTTTTATGTTTGGTCCGCACGCGTTAAAGTTGCCGGGAGTGTAACCTACCGTGATAAGGCAGAAGCTCGAAGTCGTGGTTGCACCGTCTCTATTCGCTTAGGTTAGCTAGTCATCTTTCTCGCCACACGTGAATGATTATCTGAAGAGTTCCAGAGGCAAGAGCTGCAACTCGCGCCCTTCATCCAACCCTCCCTTCAGACGAGTTCTCAACCTTCCTCCTCCCGACCGGCTGTACCTCCTACGTTTCTTGTCCTGGGGTAGAAATTGCAAGTCAGATCCTTTCCCCGTCTCCCGTACCAAAAAACCCAAGAATCAAAAAAAGAAAAGAGCAGTTTCCCCAGGGAGCGCCCGAATCTCCGCCGTCACCATCTACAATCCTCCGCCTTATCGACGCCTCCCCACCTTTGCTTCATAGTTATCTGTTACTAGTGCTGTATCTTCTCGTACCCCCTGCAAACGCCCCAGTGCAGTACCCTTACGGCCCATATATCTTTGGCTTTGGTCAGCACCGTGGTACTCTATTTTGACACGCCCCCCCGGTCGTTTCACTATTCACAAGGTCGCATTCAGGCATCCCAAACCAAACGCATCACTCTCCGCCGTGGAAACATTCCGTTATTCAAATAATTACCTACTACGGTACACCGGAATTCGCTAAGAATCTTACGGGAGTTATCGTACAATCTCGCCTCTTCCTTTCCGTCCAACGGCCACACCCTATACAATAGACCACGAGTTTACATCGTCGACTGCGGAAGAACATTGCTAGCAAGGAGGCCATTCGGGGGTGTGATTGCCCTCTGGAACGGGTCGTACATGTTCCCCTAGAGGATGGATACGTTCAGTCACCCTCAGCACATGTGGGGGTTGCAAGAACTTCAGGAGGAGATAAGGTTGTTAAAGACCTCCCAGTTCGAGCACGCCGAGCGTCTCACCCAGCATTCCGAGAGACTCAACAGGCTAGAACAGCGCCAGGATGAATCGAGGATACGCTCACTCTGGGGCACGCCATCTCCTTTTCCGCCAATGCTTAGCTCCAACTCGTTTGCACAACGTAGGCTTACATTTCAGGGTTTCTCATCTGACCCCTCTATTCCTAACCATCAAAGGTTTAAGCTTTGTCAAGCTGACGTTTGGTTCCTTGATGCGCAGAAACAAACAACCCCGAGCCACCAGAAGATTTCAGCGGTTTTGAAGAACATCAGCACAACTTATTGGCCGGACTGCAGCTAGATGAGGTTGACGTGCCAAGGAGGGGTGCATCTAGGGCAAATAGTGTACGTTTTGATGACAGTGCCATCCAAAACCACTGGATTCATGATTCTCAAGGTTCGAATGACTATTTCGGCCACCGGAATAGTAGCAGTAGCCTAGGGGGTTTCCCCATGACCGAGAGATCTTCCTCCCATAAATCTGACCATAAATCGGATGGAAGGCAAAGCTCAATGCGTTCGTATGGCGACAACAGCTCTTTCTTCGAGGGTGAGATCAACGGTGGTGTGCCTTTCAATCCTCCACTCCAGAACCTCGAACTCCTTGATTGCGAGACTCACCGATCTCCTGCCCCACCCTCTGGGCCAGCGCCAGCTATTATTCGTTGTTGGCCTGACTTTACTTCCCCTTCCACTTCGTGCTTATACGCTGTTGTTTGCACTGGTTCTGTCAAGTCTTTGATTGATATATCATTGATTGCTCGGTTTGGGTTACAAGATCGGATCAATAAAGACACGAATGGCGAATACAAGATTAACTTGACTTTGCATCTCCCTGATGCTACAATTCAGCAACCGGCAAGGGGAGGCGGGCATCACAGCCTCCCGCCACTCAACATTCGGTTCAGCGTAATGCCCAATCGAAAGGGGGGTTGTGGAGAAGGAGGCGAAGTGGGAATTTTCCTGGGAAGTGACTTCATGTCAGACCACATGGGTGATGTGCTGTTTTCTCAGAGTCAACTGTTGTTGCAGGTAGATGATGGGCGGAAAATGTTTGTTCCTTTCCATCGGCCGGAGGCTCATGCATGCTACTCGGACGTCTGTACAACACATGTTGGTGATCAACTCTCGGGGGACCTTCCGGGCCCTTTGTTACGAACGGAGGGCTGCCAAGAACAGGGTACAACTTTTATGAAACCTGCCGGGTTCGATGAACACGGTGCACCAGGGATTGACATAGACGATCTAAAAAGATCCCATGTTCCTGTGTCATCACCAAAGCCTGTACGAGGGCGGAAGGCTTCCGTTATCAGCAGAACAACAATGACCTCCCCCGAATCCTCCCTTGAACCCGACGACACGCTGGGGAAGTATACCGGTGTTCGGAGGAACAGCATATACTCAGTTGGAAGTGGGATGGAGAAGAAGAGGAAAGAAGATCGGAAGGGGGAGTATGGGGTCAGGCTTAATCTGGCTGATGATGGTGGGACATCTTCGGGTGAGGAAGAGGATGGGAAAGGCTCGTATTACGCTGAGCGCAGGACTAGGAGTGATGGGGAAGGGGGAAGCTCGTGGAATTCTAGCACTGTCAAGTCTGGAGAAGCAATAGCTGGGAACACGAAGGAGGGGGGGCTAATTTGGGATTCTTGGAGAAAAGTAACCATTCAAGGAAGAGATGATAGCGGTACGGGAACAGCCAAAACATCTCGGGCATCCTCCCGCGGGATGAAGGTTTTACGCACATCAAAATCGTCCTCCCTGTCCGAGGCTAGAGCCAATCATCAAACAGAAGATGGCTGTGGCGGAACCGGTTCGGCAGAGCTTGATAATGCTTCTTCAGCTATTGGCCCCATGCCCCGTCCCCCAGTAGGGGGCTTTCCCAAAACTGATTCATCATTGAGCGCTGGAGCGGGTGGAAACTGGGATAAGACGATCAGCCGTCCCCAGCGTAGGGTTAGCTCGGCGGAAGTTGGAAACTCTTTCCCCAAAGGAGGGGCGATTCATCCTCCTAAGGCGAAATCAACAAACGTGGTTGGAGGTGCTTCGGCTTTCCATTGGATGACTCCAAAAACATCTGCTCAGACCACAACTGAATAGACAACAATAGAATGGCATCAAGCCTAAATTATCGGACTGGACCGAGGTAATTATTATTTTTATTCCCTTTTCTAAAAAACCGGAAGGTTTCTCGGGTAGAGCGCTTTTTTTTTCTTCTTCTCAAAATTAAGCACTTGTAGTACCTTTGCTTGCTTCCCTTTCTTGCTTTCAGATGGCTTTTGGGTTTTCTTCAATGTGTACTTGAATTCACTATTAGAAGGCCTTCACGGAAAATCACTTGTCGTATTTAGTTGTACTGTACTCTGCAGGGTTTCGCGCCTGGGTGGAGGGGCTATATCTGGCCGCCACCTTTTTTCTTTTTTCCTATCATTTCTATTGATATATCCCGATGATATTCTTATCAGAAGAGGAAGAATCTTGGTGGTAGGAGAAGGGGTGGATTTGTCTGTAGTTTTCGTGTGAGGAGAGCCCAAGAGGGGCCCAGAGCAGAAGAATAAACCAGAAACCAAATGATACATTAGGCAGCCACCTTCCATTTCCCAGGCCCGTACTGGCCAAGGAGATACCCAGGAGGTTTATTTGCACAGTACTAAGGCAAAGAATGGTAGACCGGTAATAAGAGCACGCTCCCAACCCGCATCACAAACATTTACCACCACTACAAAAGCGACTGAAGCGTCAACATTGTCGACTCCTTTGACTCCTTCACTAACCCCGCTATCTGCCGGAACCTACAGACCGTATCAGCCAACATTCCTCTCCTTTACGAATATCCATATAAACTACTCACCCCGAGGTTTCGGCATCCCCCATAACCTCATACATCCAACTCTCACTCGTCGTAACCACGGCTCCCTCGCGCCGCATCCTCTCCAGGGCAACAGGCACCTCCTGTCGGTTACAGCTCGACACCCCATCTGCAATAACATAAACCCTATGCCCCGCGGCCAGCAGGTCGAGGCAGGTCTGCAGCACGCATATATGACTCTCTATCCCGACCAACGCGACAGACTTCTTCTCGCGGTCCTCGTAGAGGCGCGCGCGGAGCTCAGGTACCATCATACTGAAGAGTGATTTATCCACGACTTTGACATCCGCCGGGAGCGGGTAGAGTTCCGGGACCAGGGGGCCGAGTTTCGCGGATAGTTGGGTTGTGGCGTATGTTGGTATCTGCAGAATTTGGCCTAGCACGTTAGTTAGCAGAGATGGATATGTACTACTCGGGCACATCAAGATTGTGAGAACGAACTAGCTTTCAGCAGTTTTTGGGCGGTTAGAACGCTAATTGCTGTTAGTCTTAGAGTTGGAGGAGGAGGAGGAGGAGGATAGAGGGGGGACAGGATATGGGAACCATTTGTCGAAACCGAATATTGCTGTGCGGAATTTCTCTTGGAGGTCGCAGATGCTACGTGCACGGCTTAAGTGTTAGATTACCATACCCCGATGATGTATTCGGGTTATTGGGGGGGTGGAGGGAGGAACAGAGGAAGGAAGGGACATACAAGAGTACTGGATTATCTGTTGCATTTCTCCAATTAGCACGTCTACTTAAATACGTATACGGTACCGGTAACTGAGATGAACTTACTTATTCTCCCGCGTAGAACCATTGTGTGTCGTTTTCTCAAAGATTGGGTAATTGGAACGGTGTACGGTGTGATATGATATATACCTGTCGAATAGATTCTGGCACGAGGCTTGGGGTGGGAAATCGTGGGGGGGGGGGGTTGTGGACGGAGAGACGGTGGACTAGTATGATATGATGGTGATAATTAGCGACCAGCTGGGGGGGGAGTCGTCGGCTAGACTATCTAATACCTTATCATATTGGGCCTATCGGATTAGATCAGATAAAGGCATTCCAGGGGCAAGGGTCATCCCTGGCGCAACTGATTACATAAAATAGCACATGCATCACAGTTCTCACTCGGCCCAACCTTTTCTTTGGGGGGGGGGGTGCTAAATAGAAAGATATGATATGATATGATATTATAAAGAGTTTAATCAAAGCACTTCATCCAATACAAGCGAGTCGAGAGCTGAGACATTTGCATTTTTAGAATCCGATTCCGCCTACCCCCTCAACACGAAAAGCTCTCAGACAAACCCCCCAAAGGTGCCCTTCGCCCTCTCCAGAAACTTGAACTCCCCTTTATCCAGCATGTAGAGGTACCTATCGACCAATGAGTTCAGGTCCGTCCTCTTCAGCAGCGTCGGCACGTCCAAGTGGACGAACTCCCTAGCCGAGATCTTCTTAGCGGCCTCGCGCATGTCCCTGAGGACATATGACTCCTCGCGCTCAGTCCAGGGGATCGAGCGTCTATCGGGTTGGGGGATAGGGTGTAGCGGCTGGTCGTAGTACTCGAGCGGTTTAGTGCTGCACCGATAGTGCCTATAAGAGTTGGGGTCGCAAGGGTTGTAGTAAGCGGTGAAACGGCGCATCAGGTGGTCTACATGTATGTGACACCAGAGTCTGGCGGATCTGTAGATTTTGCTAGAGAACACAGCACTAGCATCGACGGTGGTGCCAGTGTCGGCGCCGGACTTGCGCTTGGACAGTTTGATTACGGTCGGGCTTACGGGCTTTGCCCAATTGTACTGCATGGGTGTCCAGGAGTGAAATACAATGAAGTCCCAGAGGAAGGACAAACATCTTCTTATGGTTAGCGACTTACTTGCTTACTTCAACCTGTAAAAGGGTTAAGTGAATAGGGAAAGGGAATCAGTCAAACCTGGCCACATCCTGCGGTGCCTTGAATACCACTTCCCGGAAGCCCTTATGACACATATTTGGGATAAATGTATTGACCCGGTCGAGGCAGAACGTTCCGAATTCGTCGCTCCAGTCATTCAGCAACCATATCAAGAACGGGATGCATTCTATAAAACCTTTTCCCTCAAAGTAGTGAAAGACGCGTTTCCGGAAGACTTGCTCACTATATTCGTCTCGGAGGTCACGGCGGCTGTACATGTAGATTTCGCGGGGGGTTCCATCGGGGATTGGGCCGCCATCTGAGGAAAAGCGGGCCGAGGCGAAGGCTTTTGCAGCGGTTGGAGATAGTCCAGGGAGATTGAGTTCTGGGATTGGCTCCATTGGTGGTTGTGAGAGGTGGATTGTTTTTAGAGAAAGGGTTTGTCCGTTAATTCACCCAGCAGGTGATGGGAGGGGGAGAAAACTTGATAGAGGAAGGAGAGGCCATTTCATTTGTTTATAAAATTTTGCTTGAGGGTTTCAGCGCCTTGTATTATTAGGCATGGTAACCCTAGGTTCTTTATAAGCTATCATAGAAGGAACCCGAATTCCGAGATTTTAGTATGATATGGCCCACTCCAGATGAAAGAACAAGTACGGCTCACCCCTTGTTCCTATTGCGAAACATATGATACAGCCTCCATCGGACATTCTATCTAGGTTCCGGCAAATAGTTTTCATAGCGAATCACTCGATGGAACATATTCTGTCACTCGATGTCCCTGTTTCTCTCTCCTGATAAAAAGTGTGAGATCGAGGGTAGAAACAAACATTGAAATAGAGGAATAACATTAGGTAAAAAAGAAGAGCCCCCAAAAAAAGAGGAGGAAGCGCCCGCATGAAATAGCCACAACAACCATAGTATAGGTGAGCGAGGTCTCATAGTTGTATGATGCTCCAACTTAAAGCCCTCGAGCCCTCGAGCTACAGAGCGCACATATCCAGGGCACAGGCGGGAGTGTCCTAACATCGCGGCCTAGGTTTCACGGCAACTCCACTCCGCACACCCCTTTTGTTTTCACTTACAATCTTTCGTCTGTCATTACGTTCTTGCCTTCCTCCTCCATCCACAGCCACACACCATCCTCCACTCTACTCAGCCTAATCACAAGCACCTCCAGTTCTTTCGGAGGAAGGACTCTTGCCCAAACAATTATGCCATCCTTCCCTGCTGACCCGGATTACGTTCCTTGCAACAAATTTGATCCCCGATACCCTTGGGACCCCATCATACCCTCAGACGAAGAAATGGAGGCTGACGCGAAAATGGAACAAGATATGATCCTGGCCATAAAACCCCGCGAGAAGCTTGTAAAGGCCCAGGGGGTAAAGGTCATGTCACTTACTCCTAGGGTAGGAGAAAGTGTGAGGCGGGCGGTGGCCCAAAGACCTGGAGGGCTGCCAATGAAGCTGGCCGTGGTGGCGGATCCTGATGGTAGGATATCTAGTAGTAGTGGCACCAAGAGGCTTTCAGCACCAACCTTAGGAAATCGCTCTATCGCTGAGGTTCGGGGGAGAGATAGATATACCCCTTCCCCGGACTCGGCTCCTGGCCATAGTTCTGTGTCTGCGTCTGGAATGCCGGGTCGCGCACCTCCGCTGCTTGCTCGCCCGCTGGGGGCTTCTGCAACCACTTCACCTGTGCATATGTCCCCTCCTATGAGTAGTCCTCTTCCCCCGGGGGTACTAGAGGATATGACCCCTCAGATGCCTGCACAAATTCCACTTTTCGCTAAACTCTTGCTTGAAGAGCATAAACTTGCTGAACCAGCTCCGGTCCCAATACCGAGTGGAAAATATAGGTCCACTACAGAGGCTCCCCGTGCAAGGACGCCTCAAACAGTTGCGCCTGCAATCTTGCCCCTCATCCACGGACCCAGGGATGTTGGCAAACCTACATACACTCCCTTGGCTGTTTCAACCCGTCAATTACTACCCAACCCGATGCATGGTCAGGAGACCGCTCCATCCATTTCCTCCTCTGGTCTCTCCTTTGGACAGGCTGGAAAAATTTCACAAGTCTTCGTCAATTCCCTTTTCAGAACAGCTTACGACCGAGAATCCCACCCACCAAGTACCAACGCAGCAGCAGCCCACCAATCGGCCAAGAAGGGAGAGGGTGCGCACCGCAAGCAAGAGTTTGATCTGTCGGGACGACACCCTCCTGAATGGGTAGGTGTGGCAAAAGAAGTGGACGGTGTTCGTAGGGGCCGTCCACATTCTCATACGGCAGTTATGGAACCTGTTTTTCCCAAGCATCCGCCCAGCCATATGTACTCATCGCCAATGGTTAGTGGTGGTAGTGGAAGAGTCTCAGGAGGGGGTTTTCCTGGACCAGAATATGATAATAGCAGGGCTACGGTTTTAAGATCTAGGGATGGTGCTTTGGGGTCGATACCTTTTCCTTACTCACCTCTAGAGGCACGCTTGCCAAGAGATAGTAGTTCTCGTTATCGTGGAGAGCTTCGGGCGGAAGCCTCCGGTGACCTCTTTAAGACCCCTTCCGAGCTGAGACAGCAACAATGGGATAACATAGCTCCGGGACAATTTCAGGACAGGCGAGATATTCCTCCCCGGGCGGGGAGCGCCAGCTCGGCCACTCTTCCTGCCGCCCCCCACTCCTGGAACCCGGGCAGTGAGCCTAATAGTCTGAGAGTGGTATACCCGCACCACCCTTACCCCGTAAGATACGCGCAGGAAACACCAAGCAAGGTTGCCACTATTAGGTCCATTGCCAGCAGTGGTAACCAATCCCCAGGTGCCGGGGCTTCAACTATTGGCACCCAAGTTGGTTATGACCAATGGGGCTACCCGATTGCCTCACCCGCTCCTATCGCTGCTCATTATGCTCAACTCCCACCCAATATGGTGCGCTCAATATCTGGCTCACCACCATACAGCCCACCACCCTGTGCAGCTGCCACACCCTCGACAAGGTCCACCTTCTCCAATCGCCGCCCTCGCATACCCTCCGAGACTCCCTCCTACGAGCCCCCAGAGACTTTTGTCGGGAGCGATCACAGCACACCAAGTTACCATCCACCCAACGAGGGTTATGCCCATGCCCCGCCCAGTCTACCTCCGCCTCCGCAACCGTCGGGACAGCGGTGCCGGACTTATCCTCATTCTATGCAGTCTCTCTCTCGTCCCGGTCAGAGTGGACCTGATTGTGCTGGGGGTGCATCGGCATCGGGTCTTAGTGGGGTGAGGGTAAGAGGGATTGCATCCGACGTTGAAGCAAGGGCCCAGGCCCAGGTCCAAGCCCAAGCCCAAGCCGAGACTCGGGCTCAAACTGGAGTTCGGGAGCAAGCCCCGGACCGCCGTGGGTTCGAGCAAAGGATAGGGGGAGCTGCAGATAATGCTGTAGCTAGGTCGGCTGGGTCGAGAGCCTATCAGAGGAGACCGAGGAGGACTGTTGGGTTTGCCTTGAAGGGGCGAGCCCCTCGCCGCCGTGCCCGAACTCGTCGGCACTAGCTACCAGTTAACATCCGGTCTCACCTTGTTGTTTGGTTTTCTCTTTCCTTTTTACCATATCGGTATTTCTTATCCCCCGCCTTTGTTATTTCTTGCCACTCAAGGCTTGCTCGTTGACAATGACAGACTCGACAGGCTCGCCTCCCAATACAAACACAAACTAACGAGACGCATTAAGAAAGGAGGAAAAAACTTCACCCAGCTAAAGTTAGATAAACATAAAACTTGCAATGTACGTACTGTACTAGATATCACGTCCGCACTTCAAAACCCTTCCACCACCTGGAACTGTACATGTGCATTAATTCAACCCTACCAAACCAACCCAACCCGCCAAAGAAGTCCTTCGTGTTTTTTCTCCCTTTTTTCATTTCCCTTTTTTCACTCCATTTTCGTCCTTTCAGAAATTGTAGCGCCGTATTTGCATACCAGGTTTCAGATATGCTTTGGCAGCTAATGCACCAGCACCGGTACCTAACCTCGCTATTGCCTGGTCAAAGCGTCGTCGGCACAATGTACCGGAAGGTAACATGATGAGACCACCCGATGACACTTTTTGACGCAATTGATTTGTGAAGAATGGGTGAACCGCGGCTCTCCACCGGGACAGTACCCCTCATAGAGATAGTGGTGGGAATAACTGCTTGTTTTAAGGCTTCCTAATGTTGAAATTAATCTTGTAATTTCGTCTTTATTTTGTGCGGGGTTTGCCCTGACACTATGGAGTGTCGTGTCCGTCACAAACACTCCTCGCAAAGTGCCAACGGCGCTACTGGTCGATATGTCGGGCTGTGTACAACCTCGACATTATGCGAACCGTAGTTTATTTAGGATTGAGTATGATACCGTATGCCCCTTTTGCCTCCCAAATGCGATCGTGCCATACTAGGGTAGATTAGTAGGGTAGAGGATGCAACCTTTCTCGCAAACACCTCTTTCTCGAGAAGAGAATCGTGGGAGGGTACCGGTAGGTATGTACCGGTACCGTAGGGAGACCAATATTGGTGTGTGTGTGAGGGAGAGTGGAGAGTCTACCGTAGCTTAAATTATGATATAATACCTATGATACCAGTATGCAAACTTCATGTGTGTGAGGCCGGAGCCACTCTACTACACTGATATGCTATTTTTAAGAATCTTGCACAAATTTAAATCAAAGTGCTTAGACTAGTCCCTATTGATAATAGTAAAATGCTCAAAACACTATTAATCACTGGTGCATATTTTTAATACAATATTGCATTTTCAAAACTGCACGAGGGGGATGAAAAGAGAGAAAATGAAATGACTAGGAGGTCCCCTCAAGACCTTGAGGCAATGTCTTCAGTTGCTACATTAGCGAAAATAAATCCTGCATCAGATGCGTGGGCGCCGCATCTGGATACAGGATGTTTTTCCCCTACATCTTCTGTGTCCTGTGTGTCTGGTCTTGTATTGCAATGGCCAGCCGCATCTGGTGCATCTGGTACTTGGGCACCAAGTCTAGTTGAATCCTGTGCATCCTAGTACTTATCCTAGGAAGTAACATGTCCAGATTGTATCCTAAGTAAGTGAGGCCACCTAGTTACCATCGTGAGATTCCGAGTGATAAACACTTCTGCTAGCTGCTCTCCCTTTACTACCCCCCTACTGGCTCCCCTCCTACCAGCCCACCCCATTCCAGCTCCCCCTACCAGCATCCTGTATTCTACTAGTACCTCCCCTCTTACTAGCTCCCCCTATCACCTCCCCCCTTACTGGCTCCCCCTACTACCCCCCCTGCCAGTGTATTCTAGACTTTGTTGTTTACTTTAGCTACTTTACCAAGTTAGCGAGGTTCTGGTTAAGTGCAGATTTCCCAGGTATCCTTTGAGCGCAGCATCTTATACTCAGCAGCAAGGTTCTACTCGACGCCAGCTTTCCAATGGTACCTTGGACGTCTACCCAGCGCCAATATTGGTGGAGTTACAGTCTGCCAGTATTATGAAAATGGTCTTTGCCCTGGTGGAGGTCTGGCACAGTACTGACTATGACACCAGATTGCTCAGGTCTCCTTCTGCCGCCATATCCCATACTTAGGAGCCTGATTCTACACGACGCCAGCTTTCCAGCGGTACCTAGAACATCTACCTGGTACCAATATGAGTGGAGATACAGTCTGTTATAAAAGTGCTGTTTACCCTGGTAGAGTTCTGGCAGAGTGTTGGCTTTGATGCTAGATTGCACAAGCCTTCTTGTGGCGCAGCATCCCATACTCGGTAGCCTGATTCTATGCAATTCCAGC